CAATCACATCCTTAGAAACCCACTAAGGATGAACACCTCCCTAGAATCCCACTAGGGATGAACACCTTCTCTGAACAAATTAAAGGATGAAAACACCTCCTTAGAATCCCACTAAGGATGACTACCTCCCTAGAATCACACTAGGGATGAAAACCTACTTTGAACAAATCAAAGGATGAAAATACCTCCTTTGCCACCAATACACAAAGGATGAAGGTAATAAAAATAAGAACAGACACACCTGGGTAATGGAGACAACAAATTGTAGAAGCCTGTAGAATGTCAATTTCTAAGAACAAGTGTGATTAACAATGAAAGCACAAAAGACAGTAGAGAAGAGAGTTTTCTCAAAAGGTGAAAATATCTGGGTTGCCTTGCTCAGAATTCTTTTCTCAAAACTGATTGAATGTAAATTGTATTTTCGAATTCTGTAATTGTGTGTTTTTTATTTTTCATCAAAACTTAATTAAATAGAAAAATAGCATCGGAAAATGGCCGTTGGACATTAATAATATCATAGAGAAAATCGGGATGTATTCAAAAATATTTATTCTTTAAAACAAATATATTTTTCAAATATGAATTGTCATAATTGATTATATTACCAGTATAATTAATTATGATATGCATCATAATTAATTATGACAGAGAAAAATATCATGTTATGAATTTTATCACACTTGTGCTTTGGAGACTTATGCATAATATTACTTCATCAACTTGTACCTCCATATCCAAGTATTCTAAGACTCCATCTAGTTTTCAGGAATTATCTTGGGCTTGCTTGAATCATCATCTTTATCAAAAACATATCTTGGGCATGTAGGGAAATGTTTCACATTTTCACCAACGTCATAAATTCAGTTTGTCCTTTATTCATCTTGAATGGTGTTGACTTGAATGTAGTTGACTTGAATCATCATCAAAATCATCTCTTGGGAATGTAGGGACATTTCCATCAATCTCCGCCTCATTGCTTTCATTAAAAATTTAAATTATATTTTATTAAATTAAAATAATTACAATATATTTTTCTACTTTGAGAATTAAAAATATAATTAAACTAAAACTGAAAATATTATAATACATTTGTGAACTCTTTTTTATAATATTTTTATCATTATTATATTTTTGGATTAATTGTTTTTTTCCTAATTTTTTATAAAGTCAATTTTAATATTTTAAAGTATTTAACATTTTGAATTCTAAAACTTTTTCTCTATTAGCAAATTTAAAAACATAATATACTAAAAAAGTATTATACATAATTATTTCATCCAAATTTTTAATAATATGAGATAAGTCATCAAATTCATATATAAAACAAATTTAATGATGGATTAAAATAGAACAACATTTATAAGAGACTATTTATTTTTATTTATGATGGATCAAAAGTGGAAATACATTTAAATTTATAATTTTATTTATGAAACACATTTAAATTTATAATTAACGAAAATAATGAAAATTTTAATATAATAAGATACTTTTAGTAATGTATTTTTTTTATAAATTTAAACTTACTTTCTTTAGTTTAGTTTTTAAATTTTATGTATTATTATTGTTAATTGATATACTAAAGTAAATTTACATAAAAATAGTCTTTATCTTCAAAATTTACTTCTTCAAATACTATTTTTATATTTTTCTACTATTTTTTTATAGTTAAGAAGGTCAACATTTGTGCACACACTTAAATATAATATAAAGTAAAGAGTATTTGTTTATTCTATTTTATTTCCAATCTATAATTTGAGTTTTTTTTAAAATATATTTTATATTTTTAAAATTAATAATTTTAATGTAGTTATCTAAGTTTTTGATGTGATGATTTTAATTAATTGATATTATCGAACTATTTAATTTGATTTATTATAGTAAAAATCATAAAAATAAATATTAAAATAATATTAATTATTTTAAATTATAAGAAAATAAATAATAAAAATAGAAAATAAAGTATTCTATAAAAGAAGACTAATTATTATAAAGATAAAATAGAACGTGGGAGGAAATGAGGGGATAATATAGTAAAAATGATAGAGTTTAAAAACAATGTAGAATGTGAGATGTTTAAAAAGAAAAAAAAGTTAAAAAAGGATATATATATATATATATATATATATATATATATATATATATATATATATATATAAGTAATTGGATTAAATTTATTATCCCCTCATATATTGTTATACATGATTAGCGTAATTTTAGTTAAATTAAAAATTAGAATACAAATATACTATACTATACTAATATACCATTATATTATTTCATTGTGTATAAATTACAAAACTAATAATTTGTATACTACACTAATATATCATTTATATACTATACTATAATATTATTTGTAGACAAAACTAATATCTTTATATATAAATATGTAAAAATATAAATATATGTAAAAATATAAAGATATAAATATATGTAAAGATATAAAAATATAAAGATATAAATATGTAAATATATAAATATATATCTTTAATATTTTGTACATGTAAATATAATTTATATATATTTTTAAACTTTTTTCTAATATTTATTTTTAAAAATTTAATATTATTTTTAAAATTTAATATTTTAATTTTTAATTTTTTCTTAAATATATAAATGTATAAATATATATTAAAATATAAAAATATATTTGTATTTATAGATTTTATATTTATACGGATATACATTTATTTGCATATAAATATAATTTATTTGTAAGTTATTATTGAAAAATTTTAGTAGCTTAGTGGTTGGAGTTTCAACCTCCAACTCTAAGATACCGGGGTAGGGGAGTCTTTAGATAAATAGAGAGGGATTGTAAATAAATAAAAATAAAAATAATTAATTTTGTCATTAATTTAGCGACCAATATATATCGATTGCTATTTTTTTAACTTTACTACCGATTTAGCGACCGATTTAAATCGGTCGTTATTTTTTTAACTTTGTCACCAATTTAGCGATCAATTTAATATATTAATTTCGGTCGCTATTTTGAGACCGAAATAAAATCAGTCACTATTTTGCGACCAAAATGAAAATCGGTCGCTAACACATTAGCGACTTGGCTTTTTGCGATCACGTCTTTCGGTCGCTAACTTATTAGCAACCGATTTTTTGGCATTAACGACCAATTTTTTCGGTCGCTAAAATGATTTTTTCTTGTAGTGACTCTCTCGTCATGTCCTAAGTTTTGAATTCATTTTTCACCCTCCATTGTCCAAAGTGTCATCTTCCTTGAATATGCTACCAACATTTGGAACAATCTTCATGAACGTTTTTCACATGGAGATCTTTTTCGCATTGCAAAGCTTTAAGAAAAAATCTATGGTCTTTCTTAAGGTAATTATCCAGTCTCTGAACTTTACCCTGTCTTGAAAACCTTCTGGGAAAAATTGGATAATTATCGTACTTTTGTTACCGTTCTTGTTAGGCCAAGAAATACCGCTAGCAGGATTTTGTCATTAAATTTTGCTTATGGATCCCCTTTCACTTGGTCAATCGAGTTTTTTCCATGGTAGTTCAATAGGAACATTAGTTCAGTGTCGCTTCTCCTTCCTCTACTTAACCCAATAGCTTCGTCAACACTTTCGGTAAAAAGTCGTGGTGCATTTGGTTTGTTGCCCACCAACAAAAATGCTTCCAACAAAAAGTATTCTTATTAACATCACACTATAAACACTATTGAAGTTTGTTAGGGGAAGATCGACTATCCACCCGCTCACTCTTGCTACCCTAGACGCCCATGGTTCAACAATCATGACTCCTATTCTTCTATCAACAAAGCTACTTTGATCAATCTAGTAGACGGATCAATGGCTTCTTCAACCCTTTTACTCTAACCAAAATCTAATACCAATCTCTAATGGTCTTGATTCAACATTGGAGAACAACTTTATCCAACCCAAAAATGTCAATTTCACTCAAGTTCCTTTTAATCAAATAAATAATTTTGACTCTAGTGATATATCATTTATTTTCTACAACATTACACACTTCACACACAATATTTCTTCCACCATCCATAAACATAATATGCCCTGAATCATACACTCAGAGCCACAACTCACATGGCATCTTCTTTAAAGTGTTTTCCAAGTTATTCTAAAATAAATCCTATTCAAATTAATTTGCCAAATAAATCCATTATTATTGCTTATATTTTGGTAACAATTATTTTTTCTATGTCCTCTTTATTTCCAAATTTCATATTAATCTCTGTATCTAAGTTGCTTAAGACTCATTCATGACAAATAATTGATTTGGCTAATCTAAAACAAAGTCTTTACCATTTAAATAATAACAAAAAAGCCAAGGTCTCTTAAAAAAATCCATCAAGAACTAAGATATTTTGGCATTTTATACTAGGTACCTCTCGGAAACCGTTTAAATATGTTTCGTGAACATTTTTCATATGTTTCCTGAACAATTTTCTTTTATTCCAAATTATCTCAATGAGAATTATAATATTTAACATTTTACTAAATAAAGAAAATTGTCTTGTAATCTTAGGACTAGTTTAGCTTTAAAGATATTTAATTTAGCCTATATGGACATTTGGAGTCTTTTTCCAAAACTTTCACGAAGAAAAATATTTTTTGACATTGTTCTAATATTACTAATTATTCATTAACTATAGAAAATATTTTTTTGAACATTATTATGTTATTACTAATTATTCATCAAATATAGATATATTTTCTACACTATCCAGTAATAATCTTCTCAATTTTTAGATGGAAAATTTAAGAATCACTCTAAATTTTTCTACTTTGAAATGATATATAAACAACTAGTGTTATATAATTTAAGATCAGAGTGTAGATAAAATAAAAGTTTTCATAATTGTGTAGAATTGCAGTACAGGAGTACAATATGGAGCCTTTCAAATTCTACCTAGAAGGTATTTGCTACCATTTGGCAAACAAAATTCAAGGTTCCAACTGAGGTTCATAAATTTCAACCTTGCAAATCGTGCAAAAAAAGCTTCTAAAACCTTAATGCTTTGGATGGTGTCGACGATTAAATTTGTTTTGTGCGGCAGCAAATGCGCCTGCAATTTTGCTGCGGATACCTCTGAAACCATGTGGATGCTGGTGCAGTTTCTCAGAATGTGTACCTGAAAGAATACCAGCAAAAGTACAGAAATTCTTGGTAGAGTCACCTTCAGGTCCCGCTGCTTCCATTGCAAAATCCTTGAGCTCCACTACCTTCTCCCGCATCATCTTCCCTTTCTCACTTGTGATGATTAATTCCAAAGCTCTCAGAGTTTCTTCTTTAGTGAAAACATTGTTTTCAAGTCCCACACCAATCTCCCACACATGTTCAAGTGTAGCAGTGTTCAACATCTGATCTCCAAAAAATGGCCTACTAATCATAGGCACACCACCAACTATGCAATCCAAAATAGAGTTCCATCCACCATGTGTCATGCACGCACCAATTGCTGAATGTTTAAGGATTTGCATTTGCGGGGCCCAGCCTACGACCTTCCCTTGCGTTTTAGTGTTTTCCAAGAACCCTTGTGGCAATTGTTTCTCAGGGTTACCCCTAAAGGCCCATATAAATGGATACTTACCTTCTTCTAGGGCACCTGCCAATGCAAACAACTCCTCTTGTGGTGGTATTATCAAACTTCCGAAGCTAATATACACCACTGACCTTTCCTCTTGCGTTTCCAACCAGGGTAAGCACCCTTCATCATCAGGAGTAACAGATTGTGGTGTTGTCAGAATGAATGGACCAACATTCAGAAGCATGTGGAACCTGGATTCTAGTTCGTGCGCAATAGGAAGGTGTACTGCATTGAAGGAGTTTATGGCAACTGCGGTTGCTCGCGGCAAAGCGTCTCCCATTTTGTCTAACATCATTGAAAAAGGGTCTTCAGGCTCTTCAGTTAATCCTTCAGGCAAGTCAGAAGCCCTCAACCCATTGAAACCAGTAAGGAAATCGATTTCTTTGTTTTTAATGACTGCAAAACCAGAAAAATATAATCCTTACTAATCACCTATATGAATTGAATATTATTTAGATATATAACATATATCTGTAATGTTTAGCTCAAGTGTCTGGATAATAATTATACGTACATCTAGTCAAACTAATAGAGGTAAACAAATTAATCAACTCTACCTTTTATAAATTGAGAGATTAATATAAAATAAGCTATTAATTTAATCCCTAATTGACTATTACATTCTCAATCAAATAGTCTCTAGAGTAATAAAATTATATAACCCTTCAAGTATTTATTATGCATATTATTGAAGCAAAACTCAAATTCTGAATGCTGCTTATAATACAAAAGGAATTGCATTAGCTAGGTTTGTCTTTAGCATATACTTAGCTTGAAATCTTACGAAATTGAGTGTTGAAATGACAAAAACCAGAGGAAGAGGTGGGAAGAGTAAACAGTCACAAACGTTCATCAGCAAAAGAAGTTTTTGTTAATTAAAGAATCAATATGCGAAAACATGTTAAGGGAAAAAATATTATATACCTCCATCGGGGCCCAACGTTTCCCTGATTTGATGAGAAGAAATGTGAGCAAGGAGAGGGTGAGGCCCTGCGGTCCACAGAGGAATCCACTTGGCATGCAATTCGTCAGCCATGTCAGCACAAAACCAAAAGAACGCGTCAGAAACCAAACAAGTGACGCGCCTCCCCGTTTTCGCTACGGCCTCATCCATGGCCGTCCTATAGTTAGCGGGCATGGCCTTAACAAAGTAAGCAACGGGGTCTTGGGGGTTCCCCGAGGGTACAAAATCCTCCGGCAACCCATCATCAATGTCATAAGGCCTAATGTTATGAAGCTGCTCCTGGTTCAACCCAGCGAAGACGGAAGCATTCGACCTTTTTGTGCTGAAGAACGAGAACGTCACTTCCGGTGCCTCCGCCGCCGCCCTACGCACCAGGTTCATAAGCGGAGCAGCGTGTGTGCCATAGGGAAAGGCCAAAACGGCCACATGTCTATCGTCGGTAGGGCAAACAGTCATATTGAAGGTCTGGGTTAGACACTTGCTTCGCTTCTTCTGCCTTTAATATTTCTCTTCTCTTCTTCTCCTCCCTTTGAGAATTTTGTGTTGCTTGATTTATAAGCCATCGTGTTGCGTTGCCTGCAGAAGGTTAGAGAACAGAGAGAAACGTGCATATGGTGAAGATGGTACGTAGAAATTTGGACCAACTTCTTTTTTGCTCAGCATGTGCTCCGACGGAGATTATCTGTCAACAACGAGGTACAACTGCCGGTGAATGTTTTGGTTTCCTGGTAGCGGTTTGGGGTGGTTAAGGTATTGAACCACCAACGTGCCTCTCCTTGATTATTCATTTCGTAGTTGCGCCTCTAACCGAAACACCCTAAATTTAGCTTCCCACGCAGAAGTAGGAATAGAAAATGGACCGAGAATCTATCTCATTCTCCTGCTTTCTCCCCAAGTTATAACCATTTGTTCAATTAAAACTTCCAACTATTGACGACGCATGCATTTTATAGTAGGGAAATGTTGGGTTGAAAATTTATGGTTGTTAATTGGCATTGGCCGTGTCAAGAAAGGAAAATGTTCCATATACATCTTCAAAAGTTCCAAACACTCACCCATCACCCATCACTCATTATTTAATGTTTTTAAAATTAAAAATGATAAATTAGTTTAAAGAATGAGAGAGGTTATATGGCTAGTTTTAATTTTGGGTGGTCACACCATTGTTAATTTCAAATTACCAACTCATTTTACTAAAATAATAATAATAAACATATAAATAAAAAATTTTATTATTATAATATAAAATTAATAAAAATAGTTATTGTTTAAATATTTATTAGATATTTCTCAATTTATCATTTTTGTTTAATTTTTGGAGTGTGTAGTCGTAAAAAAATCAGTACAGCACCTATAAACATGAAAAATGGTTGTTGTACACATCAAAACGTTACAAACATCACCGGCTTTTTTTTTTTACCTATTTGGTATAATTTTAATTGAAATTTATTAATATGATTAAATTTTAAAAATTTTACGAAAATCTTTTCGTGATGCATGTAGTTATGAAAAAAAAATCATGTTTTCTAGCATGATTATTGAGATTTTTTCTATTATTTTTAAAGCAAGTTGTATTCTGACTTTGCCATTTTTTTTAAATAAAAGTCATGGTTCATAGCACGAATTATGTAAATTTGTTTTATTTTTTAATTGAAATTATTATTATTTATATTTTTACTTTTTATTTGTTTATTTTAGTTATAAAATAATATTGTATATTTGTACCTTTTTTATATATTTATAATATTATATATTTTAATATTATTATAATAATATTTTTCATAACCTATAAATAAATAAAAAATTCAAATTATAACAATAATTAAAATAGATATAAAAAATGAAATATATTATATTATCATTGTCTATGCAGATAATTACTATAATGATGACCTTTAGTGCAACAAAATGAGCATTTTTTCGATTTATTTGGATTTAGCTGATCCATTTTGTTGTGTATGTGTGTCGTGGTAGGCCTTCCTAATTGTTCACATTGCATAGTTGGGTCGGGAATAAAATTTGGACTAATATAAGGAGACCAATAATCTTTATTTTGTATGGGATAAAATTAATGCTCATAAACTTTGAAAATTCAATCTAACTTGTATCCTAGATTAACATATGTACCAATCTGCAAATGGTATGTGAAACATACAACTATAACATGTGAGCAAGGTAGTCAAAGAACTTGAAACTCTTTACAATCACACCACTAGTCATGCAATCTGACTAAATACATTTATGCTCGTCCACCATTTTGTGTGTTTGACAATTCTTGGACTTTAAACTCACCATTTTTCCTAGTATATCTTTGCACATGACACATATCAGTCAGTTGTTGGCATTCTTTGAGGAAGACAAAATTCTCTTCTAGATACTCATGTCCTGCTCGTAACATGACCTCTGTTTTCAGTAATGCAATACTAGGGTTGACCTAGATTACATCCTCGAGGGAAATTGTTTGGTTTTGTTTTAATCTTGATTTTCAATGTCAAAAGCTAAGAAATAAGGGATTTTTATAATTTTCAATCCAAAAGGTAAATTGAAAGCAATAAACATAATATATTAAAAACAGTAAATGAAAGTATATAAATGAAAGGAATAAACTTTAGACTATGAAAGCAATTAAAGAAAGCATTTAAAGAAAGCAATTAAAAATAAAACATTTAAAGGAAGCATTTAAAGAAAACATTTAAATCTAATTTACGAAAGCTATAGATTAAGAATAGTGAAAATGATAATTAGAAACTATGTTGATTCTCCAATCATAAACTTGTTTTTATAATTATCATTGATTTCTATGTGTAGACCCCAAATCTTGCCCGACCTCATAATAAAGACCAGAAGACCTTCTATTCGAAGATGGATGAAGCCTAAGAAGCCACTAGGAGAGACTATTAGGCCTCATACTAGGATAGGAGGGATTTTCGGCATGTAAATAAGGATTCTCGCCTTTTTGGGTCGAGACCGCCGTCTCGCCTTGTCAGACGAGACGTCCGTCTCGACCTGACAGGCGCGAATCCCTATAAATAGCCGCACCATTCCCCTTATTTCACACAGTTCTTTCATTCTCTCTCTAGTCACTTCCTCAAATTCTCTTTCTAGAATCCCTCCGAAGCATTTCTGGAGTTTCTGAGAGCTTTTTAGAGTTTTTTATAGCGTTTTGGAGAGGTTTTGGCGCTGTAAAGAGTGAAGGGCTGCCAAAAAGCACCCAAATTATCAAGAAATTAATAGAAAGTTTGCCTCGGAGGTTTCTACACACTCTCTCTCTCCTTTACCGCTTTATTTTTAATTATGCAATAGATATTAGGGTCATGTAGTCGTACTTTTAAATTTCGCAAATAAAGGGTAGAAGCGGTTTATTTATTTAAAGTAGCTGGCCTATCATAGGGAACCCGAAAGGGGCGTCGTAAGGGAACTAACACTTCCCTTACACGTAACTAACTCCCTTACCCAACTCTGGTTCTAAAGACCAAAGTTGATTTTTTGAAAACCAACGCTTTTTTACTCCTTTTCCGATGTTTCCAGTAAAAACATCGGTGGCGACTCCAGAAGAACCCTTCAAAACTAATTCTTGGGTTAGCCCGGTTATCGGACAATCCAAGAGCGCCTTTTTGAAAATCTCGCCCCTAGGTTCAGTCCGGTTATCGGATAACCTAAAGGCGTTGTAACCACACCAATAAAAACGCGAAAATCGGAAAATCGGAACCATCGCATCGCTCCGACCGCCTCGTTTTGACGGCAGCGACAGATGGCGACTCCGCTGGGGAAGCCTAGAGAGTTGATCTCATTTAGTGATGGGCCAGCTTAAAATAAATAAACCAAGAAAATTACGCTTTTACCCTACCTTGTATTATAACATGCTTTAATGCTTGACTTTAATAACTGTTGCTTGTTTATACTTACACAATTGTTTGAAATACAAACTGTACACAAACCCTTGCACACTACAGTTCCCTCTATACCCGAGGGCAAGTGAGAAATCCATAGGGAGTGGGTGGCAGGTACGGTTCGCTGTAGTGATGGCCTTGTGCCCACCAGTGTGATCGGAAACCACCACTCAATGTGATAACCTTCCTCTTTTGGCACAAAGACTGACTATGGTCTTAGTGCTAAGCAGGGTCGGAAGGCTGGAGAGTGGGGACCCTATAATAGGGGCACCTTGGGGGCCTTAGCCTTGGTGAGAACAGTTAGAACCTACCTTCGCCAACGCACTTTTCTGCAAGAAAACCCTACCTCGTGATTAAAACGACTTCTCGCCTGTTCGTGAATGACCGAATTGTATGTGCATCTGTTTGTTGCATTTTTCTATTGCATAGCATAACCAAACAACAGAAAAATCACAAAAAAAAACATTTTTTTGCAATAAACACCCTTATCTCGGACAGTCTGCCTTTTAGCTAGCCTGGTTTCAGGTTCTTTGTAAGCTAAGTAGTCACGCAGTCCGACAGAAGAAATAAGGGATGCTAAATAATCCTTTCGCATAAAACCATTTTTTTTTATCTCAGACAGTCTGCCTTTTAGCTAGCCTGGTTTCAGGTTCTTTGTAAGCTAAGTAGCCACGCAGTCCGACAGAAGAGATAAAAGGCTATAAAATAAAATAAAAATCCAATAAAAAAAAATTTCGATTCGAAAACAATAAATGAGACCTTGTTCAAAAATATTACACTCATAAATCATATAGGTAGTTTATTTTTCCAAAAAAATACGCAAATACCATACATCATGTAAAAGCAAAACATGATAAATAGAAAAATAAAGACTCACATTCATTCAATAAGCATCATCTTCATAAGACATGCATTTTGGTTTTAGAAAATGGAGGGGACTAGTAGACAATTGAAGAAGGTGGACATTCCCCGATACCATAACAGCTTTGCGCGATAATGCCACCAGAGGTCCGCTCCGACTTTGAAAATTCCTATGGAAGGATTCTCGACCTACTGAAGATCTGTGTCGATCAAGTTTTCGTCAGGGTATTAGTTCACTTCTGGAACTCTAGTCCGCGCTGCTTCGAATTTCCGCAGTTTGATATGGTGCCCACCTTAGAGGAGTACGAAATCATGCTGAAATGGCACAAATCAGCCAGGGTCCATATCCGCCACGGGGCATATACTCCTGCAGCACAAGTAGCTGTCATCATCCAACTGCCTTTCTGGCAGACTACCCTGATAGGAAAAGGGAACATCCAGGGTTGGAAAGTCTCAATGTTAGAAGATCATCTGTCTGACTTGGCTGAAAGGACAGAATGGGTCGCTTTTAACAAAACCCTAGCCTTAATCATATTTGGAACGATCTTGTTTCCCTTCCACCTCGACACAGTGGATCAAGCCGTCATGGACGCCTTCTTCGCCTGGGACATGAACTCGAAGAGTCCCTTGCCTGCAATTCTTGCCGACACCTTACTCTCGGTGGAATTCTGCCGCCAGAAGCAAGGAAAAACACTTCGTTGATGC